GCACCAGAAACCGGACCCACCCCACCGGGCATGGACGACAAGCTAGACAAGACTCTGAATTTTATCACCAATCAAGATGCGTCCATTAAGCGTCTTGAGACGCAAGTATGCCAACTGGCCACACGGGTTGGGAACATAGAGACTAAAATGGATAAAGGAAAGTTGTCGAGCCAGCCAGAGCACGCAAAATTGGTCACGGTGCTTATGCCCGAGCTAGAGGGCCAGACGAAGGAAAGACAGAAAGCAGAGACCCCAGTCATACCGCCGCCCGAGCCTGCCTTACACAAATCCCCAAACCCATACAAACCGAAAATTCCATTCCTGAGCTGACTTTTGGAGGAGAAAGACCGTAGGATGATTTGGGACTTGCATGCAATGTTGGCTAAGGCCAACGTCGACTTATCTCCGCTCGATGTGATCAAGAAGATACCGGAGTATGCGAGATTTTTCAAGGAATTGGGGGAAAATAAACTGAGGCTCGAGAGTGATGATGAGGTGCTGGTGTTTGAAGTGGCAAGTGTCTTTCAGCATAACTTGCCGAAGAAGGAAAAAGACCCCGGAGACTTTGTGATTACTTTAGCCTTCGGGAATGGGGAAGAGACCTCAGACATGCTTGATCTGTGAGCTGGCATTAACCTCATGCCACTTGCGGTTTATCATAGGCTCGGGCTCGGGGAGTTGAAGCCCACCAAGATGCGCCTACAGCTTGCAGACCGTTCATTCTCTCACCCTGTAGGGATTGTGAAGGATGTGCTTGTCCGAGTGGGGAAGCTGATAGTCCCCGTGGAATTTGTCATGCTTGATGTAGGGAGTGTGCAAGAAAATGGTAAGGAGCACGCCATCCTCCTCGGACGACCCTTCATGGCGACCACTAGCACGGTCATTGATGTGAGGAAGGGGACGACAAGCATGACAATTTTGGGAGAGTCCATTGTCATTTCTGTTCGAGAGACAAGCCTGAACAGCAGGCGAATTTGATGGAAGAGTGTGCGTATATTCGGGCAATTGAACAGTTGACTGAGGAAGCATGCTTGCGAGAGCACGCTAAGAGGTCATTGCAGGACCGTGGTTATGGTGAGAAATAATGCCACACCAACCGCCAATTTACCCTTCCCCAGCCGAGTTCAAAGGAGCTGCCTCGATATGGATGGGAGAGAGAGTTGATCTGATAGAGGCCCTCCGCTTTTCAGGGCCCCGATTACCTCCATCCTCTGCATGTACCACCGGACTCAGAGTGACTAGTCTAGTCACTGTGCCCTGTTTGTATCTTTTCCTTTCTCTTCAATTTTCGTTTTTGGTTTAGTTTTTCTATCTTTTGTGTTTGGTCGATAATGTGGGCAAACTTTCCTAGCACTAGTGATCGACAATGGGGACATTGTTCGGTTTTTAGTGTGGGGGAGTTTTTACATGATTATGAGCCTATATGGTTAAACCTATTGGTTTGATTGGATTTGATTAATTCGTGCATGATGATAGGAATTCTAAACGGGCTAGTTGATTACCACCTTCTAGTCTACTTTAATCGACTCTTAGAACCGAAAGGGGAGGAGTTTGTCGAAATAGACTTGTCTGAACTAGGCTTGTTCTTAACTGTATTGCCTAGACGTTAAATGAATTGTTAATTTGTCGTTCTAGCTTTTTCTCATATTACGAAAAGTTATTGAGGATGAATACCTGAACGATAGTTATTCAAATCACTTAACCGAACAAGCACTTGCCAGACCATTTTGAACCAAAACGGATATCCCCGACTCCCTAGCTCCTTAAATCCTATTTGTTCTTCGTCTTCGCTTGCTACTTTTATTGCTTTATTTAAATGTCTTCAGTAGTTGATAATTCAAAACCAACCAATCATCTGAATTAGCATGTTTAGGAATTTTATCTTTTTTTTGTGTAGTTGAGTAAACGTACTGAATATTCCGGCTAACCTTCCTCGTAAGACACGACCTGGTGTTCGAACCTTTCGATTCTACTCTGGAAAATTATTTACAACATATTCCATGGACAAAGAAGCAGTACCTATGAACAGAAGCTGGGAACTTAGTGAGGGGATCACAGATTGTCCTCAAGATGAGAAGACTGTGGGTAAGCTAGTGAAAAAGACCAAAAAAGAACTTTGCACGGTATAGAGGGCCAACCTTAAGGAGGCCTCACAGCCCCAATGATTGCTCTGGTGTGGAGCTGTAGAGGTCTGTAAGGGAACTCTACTGTTCCCCTGATCAAGGAAGCCATAAGGCTCCACCACCCAGATTTTATTTTTCTGTCTGAAAAAAAAAAATTCAAAAACACATTCTTCAGCTGTTTGTGCCAAGTTGGGTTTTTTCTAATAATTTCTTTTTGGTGGAACCAAGTGGTCTTATGGGAGGATTAATGTTGCTTTGGAATCAGGATATGGTTATTTTGCAGATGTCTAGTGATCATTTCTTTATAGCAGTCCAATTCAAAGATAAAAGATCTCAAAAGTATATCTGGGCAATTTTTGTCTGTCTTAGCCCTTCTAAACCAGAGAGAGAACTCCAGTGGAATCACCTTATTCTTAGAAAGCAAGACTGTGGAGATGTTTGGTTGTTAGCTGGGAATTGGAATGATCTCTGTCGAGCAGAAGTCAAAAGCGGAGGTAAATGCAGACCTAGTAACAATTATGAAGGTTTCAACAATTTTCTGGTTCAAATGGGGGTGAAAGAGATTTCTTTG